TCTCCTGCACCCCCAGGGACCCCCCATGGTAACCTCCACCTCCAACAGCGCCCCCTGCTGCACACCAAGGAACACTGCAGGCTCTGCTCCTCCAGTGATCCAACAACGCCCCCTGCTAACTGTGCTTCCAATTGCACCAAAAAAGTGCAAACAGATATGTTTACTTTTTGTTTGAAGGGGACTTCTGGGTAAAGGATTATTGTTGGGTTGTTTGTGTTCTTTCGTTGTTCTGCCAATACATATATATCCTTTACCAAAGTGCTGTTATTTTTTCCTTTCTCCACACTTTCTCAATCGCAACCTCTTAATTTCGGATTTACAATTGCTTAGATGGAGGAGTTCTGGGTTTTCCTCATAATTCATCCTCCTTAGCAAAACATTTGTATCTCATTAAACTGAGACAGACAGCCAAAATTTAGTACAGATGAAGACACATCCCAGACGAAAGGTGCCCGCACAGAAAGCTCTCGCTCTTTGTGTAGTGCCAAGAGTGGTGCACCAACTGCACTAGATAGGTGGTGAGTCAGGGTTAGGGTTGGTGTTAGGGTCTAGGATTTATGGTAAGGTTTAGCATTAGGGTTAGATTAGGATAGGATTTAGGTAAGGTTTGGGTTAGAGTAAGGGACAGGGTTATGGTTAGGGGTTAAGGTTTAGCATTAGGTTTGGGTTTAGGGTTTAAGTTTAGGTCTGGTGTTCGAGATAACTGCCAGACCAAAGATGCCACACAGAAAGCTCTTTTCGTGTAGTGCCGAGAGTGGCACAGTAACTGCACTAGAGAGACAGAGGCTCAGGGCTTTCTTTCCTGGGTGGAACAGAAGTGCACACCCCCTCACTGCAGCCCCAAAAGTGTTCCCTGATTGCCTTTATGATGTCATGACCTACCCTCTCCATTCCAGAATGATGCCTGTAAACCAAAGAACCAATGCACCACACCCTCACATTGCAGCCTTTCCTTTTTGCCATTGGCCTAGTTGTGATTTTACAGCCAATCATCTCTATTCCAGAATGGCCCCTGGACACCAAAGAACTAATGTCTCACACCCCAAGAATGCAGCCCAACATGTCTGCCATGGGCCTCTGTGATGTCACAGCCTATCCTCTCCATTCTGAATTGGCCCCTGGGAACCACAGAACCAACGCATCCCACCCCAGAGAACAGCCCAACCCATGTGCCATGGGCCCCATTCTGATTTCACAGCCTGTCCTCTCCATTCCACAATGGCGCCTGGAAACCAAGGAACCAACGGCTCCCATGCCACAGTGTAGCCCAAGCCATGTGCCATGTGCCCATCTGTGATGTCATGGCATATCCCCTCCATTCGACTATGGACGTTGGCAACCAAAGAACCAGTGCTCTACATCCCCCCAGTGGAGCCCCACCCGTGTGCCCTTTTTGTGATGCCATGTGCACCAGGTTCGCAAGGATACGTGTCTGGAATAAAGACAAGTGCAACAGTCATTCAAAGACTACGAAATATCTTTTATTGCAGTGAGAGTAAAAAAAAAAAAAACTATTAGCAAAGAGAATAAAAAGCAAAAAAAAAATACAACCCCCCTACTTTATCTATTGGCATTCATAAAATACTACGAACAGCCTCTGTTACAGCATTAGCTAGGAAAAAGGGAATTAAAGGGATAAATAAAAGAGGATAAAAAATGTTTGCTTTCTTGGTTGCTTCCTATCAATAAACTGTGCTCACCTGCACAGACAGGCCAGGCCTACCAGGGTCTGCAGGGCTGGTCGGTGCCCGTGCTTGGCGGGTGTCCCCGCGGAGCAGCACAGTGTGGATGGAAGGATGAGCATCGCTCCACCCAGCAGTGCTGACACCCCATTCCATCAGCTCTACATTACACTACGTAGGGCCAGGACGCAGCAGAAGGTGGTGCTTGAGTGGCAGCCAAACAGCGCCCGTTCATCACCTCATGGCAACAGTCTGGGCGTGCCCCACTGTAGGGCAAGGGGCCAACGACCCCTGCCCACATCATCTTCCTCTCCATCACCTTCCTCAGCCCTATGGACGACCTGTACCATTGTGTTTCAAGGGGATTTGTATCTCTCTTGCAGAGTGGAGCCAAGCCAAGGAGGAACTCAGCTCTGATAATAGCGGACATCCAGTTAACTTTGCTAAAGACACAATGGGCCCTACAGTGAACTTGTGCAATAAAGTTACCTTGTACAACACTCTGGCTGGTTTCACATGCGAATATAATCACTTTGTCACCTCTCTATGTTCCATTGATCATCTGAATAAAAAGTACCCCTTACACCATGGAAACCATTATGCATTCTCATTATGACGTTGGTTACCATGGCAACCATTATGCAATCTCAATGTTTATGTCAGTTACCAAGGCAACCATTGTACATTAGCATTGCTATGTCAGTAACCATGACAACCATTATGCATTCGAATTGCTACATTGGTTACCATGGCAACCATAGTGCATTCCCATTGTTACCTAGGTTACCATAGCAACCATTATGCATTTTCATTGTTACCTCGATTACTATGGAAACCATTACGCAGTCTCATTGTTAGGTTTGGTTACCATGGCAACCATTGTGCATTCTCATTGTTAAAAGTGGTTACCACGGAAACATTTATGCATTCTCATGGTTACGTCGGTTACCATGGCAACCATTATGAATTCTCATTGTGACATCAGTTACCATGGCAACCATTAAGCACTCGAATTGTTATGGTCGTTACCATGGCAACCATTATGCGTTCTCATTGTTATGTCATTACCATGGAAAACAATATGTATAATCATTATTATGTCAGTTACCATGGACACCATTATGCAGTCTCATTGTTTAGGTCGATTACCACGGCAACTATTATACATTAGCATTGTTACGTCAGTAACCATGGGATCATTATGCATTCAAATCATTATGTCGGTTACCATAGCAACCAGTGTGCATTCCTATTGTTACCTAGGTTACCATGGCAACTATTATGAATTCTCATCGTTATCCTGGTTACCATGACAACCATTAGGTAGCCTCATTCTTAAAAGCGGTTACCATGGTAACCATTATGGATTTTCATTGTTCCATCAGTTACTGTGGCAACCACTATGCATTCTCATTGTTACAAGCAGTTACCATGGTAACCATTATTCATTCACACTGTGACATCAGTTTCCATGGCAACCATTATGCATTCTCATTGATACATGTGGTTACCATGGCAACCATTCTGCATTCCCATTGTTTTGTCGCTTACCATGGCAACTCTTATGTATTCTCATTGTTACAGTCGATTACCATGGCAACCATTATGCAGTCCCATTGATACCTCAGTTCCATGCAAACCATTATGAATTCTCATTGATACTCCGGTTACCATGGAAACCATCATATTATCCCATTGCTACAGTCAGTTACCATGGCAACCATTATGCATTCCAATTGCTATGGACGGTTATCATGGCAACCATCATACATTCCCATCACTATGATCGGTTACCATGGGAACCATTACGCATTCCCTGTCGTCACTTACCATGGTAACCACCTGTAACACACAGATAATACAGAAATGCCAAAAATTGTTTCTCAATTGTTTCTGCCTGTCAAAAACTTCCTACCAAACATTCTCTGTCAGCTCTCTGCCAGAAGTTCTCACCAGGACTTCCTACAGCACTTTTCCTGCCAAAAGAACCTGCCATTGTTTATGGTTATCATATTTCTTCCAACATCTGAACTGGCTACGTGCCAAGAAACCACGTTCAACCTCCTTTGAACACTATAAAAGCTGAGGACGAATTTTGGAAAATCAGGGAGAAGAAAGGGACAAGAACTGGTGACTGTAGCCGAGAATCTCTGCCCACATCCCCTCACCTTTTCTCCGCCACCGCGTGCTGCCTGCCTGCCACCAGAGACTGGAACTGTGCCGGCCTGGAGAGAGCTGAGACCACCGTGCCACATGTGGGAGTTCTACCTTATCCTTCTACCCTGACCATATTTCTGAGGGCCCAAAGCTTCGGCTGAGCTGAGATCCTGCATGGCCTGGGACAGGGGTGTGAGTGGTGAAACCACACATGGTGCATTGCAGAGAACTAAAGCTGTCAGACCCCCTGCAGCTACAGAGACAACATCCAAAAGCTGCAGAGACAGAAAAAAAAAGGGGCAGAAACTGCTACTCACCCACACACACAGACCAGCTCAGGGGAAAGGTGGCATGGTGGTATCTTCTCTCTGCTTTCAGACGTAATCGTAAGAGTTTTCCAACGTTTTCTTATTTTTTCCTCGTTCTTTTTGCACCTCTTAGCAATTAATAAAATCAAGTTTTGGTATCAACAGAAAACTTGTGTGAGGTTTAATTTTGCTCAAGGGAATATTCGAATCTGAAGCTCCATCTGCAATATTAAGGCAGACTATAACGAGGGACCATGGAAAAGTGGGAGGAACAGGGAGAAAGGTGGAAAAGGGGGGTGGTCTGGTGGATCCGGCGGTCCCATGGGGGTCTTTGGGTACAAGGAGGCTGGAAAAGGGGGTGGCCCCCCTGAGCTCCCAACTGACTGTGGGGTGCTGGGGCTGCTGGATCCAATCTTAGCCTTGGGTTATGCCAACAGGTTCAGTTTAGAGGAATTACAGAGGTGGGACTGAACCACTTTTGTCCCCCAGGGTTTTAATGATGACAAGTCCAATCTATTGATAGAAATGAATTATTTAGGGTAACAAATGATCAGACAAAAGATCTTCATCAGAATTATTCACTGCACAATAGAAACACTAAAACTACCAGTAGAACAGGATAAGATAGGACAGTGTTCTACACTAAAGTAATTGTGGAAGCAATTCTACTCAAGCTGGCATAAAACCAGAAATTATTAATTAAAAATGGATGGAACTCCCCCAGACCAACACTTGTGGGGAGATCTCTGCTCTCAACCTCCAGCAGTGACCCTGGGGGTCCCAGTCAAGGCAGGAATCTCCACACATCCCCCAGGAAAGGTTCTACTGGTACAACCTGCCCCTGGCAAAGGGGACCGGTCCTTTCTGCTGGAAATGGATGGACTGACAGTCACTGGACTCCAGGGGTTGCCTCACCATCAGGGGGGTCATTCGGGGTGGGAGCAGCGGCCGAAGCTCTTCCCGCAGTTGGGGCATTCATAGGGCTTCCCTTACTGGTGGGTCCGTTGGTGGGAGGTCAAGTGGGAGCTTTGGCTGAAGCTCTTCCCACACTCCCCACACTTGTAGGGCCTCTCCCCGGTGTGGATGCGCCGGTGGGTGACGAGGTGGGAGTTCTGCTTGAAGCCCTTCCCGCAGTCGGTGCAGCGGAAGGGCCTCTCATCTGTGTGTATCCGCTCATGCCTGAGGAGAGTTGAGCTGGTCTTAAACTTCTTCCCACATTCCCCACATGTGTAGGGCCTTTCCTTAGTGTGGAAATGCTGGTGTTGAGTCAGGGCACATTTATGCTTGAAGCTCTTCCCACATTCCCTACACGTGTAGGGCCGTTCCTCGGAGTGGATGCGCTGGTGGCTGTGGAGGTTGGAGCTCTTGGAGAAGCGCTTCCCACATTCTCTACACACGTAGGGCCGTTCCCCAGTGTGGATGTGCTGGTGGCTGAGGAGAATGGACCTCTTCCTGAAGCTCTTCCCACATTCCCTACACGTGTAGGGTCGTTCCCCAGTGTGGATGTGCTTGTGGTGGATGAGGGTGGAGTTCTGAGTGAAGCTCTTCCCACATTCCCCACACGTGTAGGGTCGTTCCCCAGTGTGGATGTGCAGGTGGCTGAGGAGCTGGGTGCTCACCCTGAAGCTCTTCCCACATTCCAAGCACCTGAAGGGCTTCTCCCTGCTGGGAGGCTGCTCAGGGACCACCAGCTCGGAGCTCCGGCTCAAGCTCCGGCTGCCTTCCCGGCACAGGACGGGTCTTTCCTCCTCAGAGCTCCCTGGGCTGGCTTTGCAGCCCCTCCTCTGGGGGCATCTCCAGGCCTTTTCCTCCCCGCTGCCTTCCTGCGCCGGGGAGCCCTTCAAAACGGCCTCTCCCACCAGGCTCTGCCGGGGGGATTTGTCCTCCGTGCTCTCCGTCCTCAGCTCGGGGCCTGGGGCAGGAAGGAAGAACAGGCAGGGGATTTGCCTCCAGCCCAGAGGGAAGGTCAAGCACATCCCCCCCAAATTTGGTCCCCACATGCACCACAAGACAGGGCCAAAGGGGCACTGACTTCCTCCTCACCTGCCTGGGGGCTCGCGGCATTTCCTCATCCTCGCAGCCTCCTCCATCTGCCCAAGCTTTGGGAACGACAAATCGTGGTGGGGGGAAACAAGGGCTGAGTGCATTGGCTTGGGGGTTCCTCCTGCCCAAGTCCATCTCTAGAACTCACCAGGCATCCTGGGACCATAAAAACCTCCAAAACACCAAGATTCAGCCCAAATAACCCCAGCCAGGAGCTTCTTCTCTCTGGTCTCTCCACTTTGGGATTCTGGAGGTCCCCCCTGTTCGGGTTGCTGGGAGTCCCGTGTGTATTTGGGGTCTCCCCTCTACAGGGTTCCTGCCCTCTCCAGGCTGTTGGTGCTCCCAGGAACCCAAGGCTCCCCCATCTCTCAACTTCAGGGTTCTGGGGGACCTCTAAAACACCAAGATTCAGCCCAGAAAAAACCCAAACCACCAAGATTTAGGCAAAACACCTCAGAAATAGCAAGAAGACACGCGCCCCCAAAATTGCAAAAAGTTGAGATTCAGCTGAAATAGACTCCAAATTATGAAGATGAGCCCAAAAATTTCTCTTCCAGGAGTTCCCCCTCTCTGGTCTGCCCCCTCTGGGGTTCAGAGTTTCTCCACTGTCTGGGATGTTGGGGGTCCCACTTAGGGATGTTGGGAGTGCTGGTGGTCCCAAGGGTCCCTTCTCGTCTGACTCTCACCTTTGGGGTGCCGCCTTCCCAGACATTCCCCCTTGAAAGGAGAGCAAGGCCTAAAGAATTACCTGAAATATCTTGCTCAGCTGAGAAAAGCCCCCCCATACCTGCTTTGCCTAAATTGCTAAAGAAAAATTTGTTCTGTTCCGTTCCTTGGGCCTTATAATCTAAAGAAGGTTAGAAACATTATCCAATGGGTCTGCAGGCCAGAAATTAAGGTAAAGTCAGCCAAGGATAGACATTTGAATAGGAGAAATAGGCCTAAAGCCAAGGCTCTCTCCAAGCTTCAGTGACTGGGGCAAAGACAATCGAAAGTTAGAGGGGTCACACTGAGGAAGACTGCAGAGACCCCAGCCCCGATGATGAAGAAAGGGGGATGAACCCCCAGAACTGAGGGAGGTCACTGGGAAACACTGGGTGGTCACTGGGGGGTTTACTGGACCATACTGAGAGCCACTGGGAGGTCACTGGGCTATACTGGGGGCACTGGGATCCCCTTACCCACATGTGGTTCATCTCCCTCACAAGACTTTGGGTGGTACTGCTAGGACTCCTCCCCTGAGGGCTTGGAGACCCCTTGAACCCCACTGCTGGGCTTTAGGGGACCACCCGGGATCCCCTCCCTGTGGCGTCTCTGTGCGCTGAGTGTTGGGGGTCTCTGGGGTTCGGGGGGGGCTTCAGGACCCGCTTTTCCTGCAGTCAGTCCGCCCAGCCGGCAGGGGGCGCTGCGGCACCAGCGGCAATGGCGGCGCCGCGCTGGCCTAATGGGAGTTGTAGTTTGCTCATGGGGACTCCACCGCCGCCTGCGCAGTGCAGCCATGGCGTTTAAATCTCTCTCCTGAGGGGGTTCCATGGCCCCAGCCCTTTCAGGGACCCCCTAAACCCCTTCAGGCACCTTCACCCTCCCCTCTGAGCGCCCTCAGGACACCAAATCCCCTCCACGACCCCCCGACAGCCCCTCACGGACCTCAAACCCTCCTCGGGAACCCCCGAGCCCCTCCTCTCCACTCTGCCGAGCCCTCCAGCCTTCCCGCCCACAGCCGCGCTCCCCGCAGCCCCCGAGCGCATCCCCAGCCCCGCCGCAGCCCCCGCCAGCTCTCACAGAGTCGGAGCAGATCCCGCTGCCGCCGCCATCGCTTTCCCGGCAGCCACCGCGGGGCTGTGCGCGCGCACCGCCGGCAGAGACCTCGCCCCCTTTTCCGCGCGGGGCACGCCGGGAGTTGTAGTTGCAGCGGCTCAAAGCTCCAAACTCCCCCAGACTCTATTCCCCACGGGCGTTCCTGGGGCAGAGCGGGGCAGAACCGGGGCGGGGACGGGACGGGCATTAGGTGGAAATCATTATAAAAACTGTAACCCCTGCGTTGGAAGGGATGGGTGTGGGTTTGTATTCCTGGAGCCTGGAGGCTCATGGAAACCTTTGCTGCTTGTCTGACCTCCTACCCAGTTGGGCCTGAAGTCTTTTTCCTCTGCAACCTTTTAGGGAACAACGTTTATGGGGTTTTTGAAGACGTGACCTTTATGAGGAGAGCCTTTTATGAGGTGTATGAGCTTTCTGAGGACAGAACCATTATGACCTGCATGGGCTTTATACAGAGAGATCTTTTATGATGACAGCTCTATCATGAGGTGTATGGGCTTTATGAGGACAGAGCTTTTATGACATTTATGGTGTTTATGAAGGCAGAGCCTTTATGATGTTTGCCCCTCTGAGGTGCACAGGTTTTACGAGGACAGAGCCTTTATGAGGTTTATGGCATTTATGAGAACATCTCCTTTATGATGACAGCCCCGTGAAGAGGTTTATGGGCCTTATAAGGACAGGGGCCTTATGAGGCCTGCACTGTTGTGAGGTGTGTGAGGGTTATGAGGACAGTCCCTTTATGAGGCTGCACCATTCTTGGGTGGATGGGTTCTATGAGCAGAGAGACCTTCTGAGGCTGCCGCATTGTAAGAGGGATGGGGTTTATGAGGAGAGAGACTTTGTGAGGAGAACCTCTTGTGAGGTTTATGGGCTTATGAGGACAGCACCATTATGACAGGTAAGGGTGTTATGAAGACAGAGCTTTTATGCTGAGAGCTCTTTTATGAGGTGTTTGGGCTCTATGAGGCCTGCACTGTTATGAGGCTTAAGCTGGAGCTCCAACATGATCCAACACCAGCACATCCACACTGGGGCACGACCGTCCTCTTCCCCACCAGGCCTGTGGGATTTTATTCATGCAGTGTCAAAGATGCCCAAAAACGATATTCTCCCTGGGAAAAGGGCTTATTTATGGGAAGCAGAAAAAATTGTCCCTCATCAGTGTCTGATTTTAAGGGGACCTTTTCAGGCCATCAGCCTGTTCTGACAGGAACCCCACCCCCTGAGGGGGTGGCCCAGCCAGCTCCTGTTGGGAAATGGAAGGCTCAAATTGAACATTATTGCACCATCTTTCAGGGAAGAGAAGGAGCTCACAAAAATCCTCCCTGGCAAGATGAGGTGACTGTAAATAGCACAACTGATTCTCCCCCTTCTGTGGTTCAAGGGGCACCCCCACACTCAGAGCAATTGCAGGATGGGGGGTTTCCTGATGCCTCAGCTGAGCGGGAAGGGGCAGTTTGGAAATATCGTGCTGTGGTTTTACAGGGACATCCAGGAGACAAAACAGTCCCCGAGGAGAAGGCAGGGCACAGGCAGGAGAATCAGGAGCAGTTTGGAGGGGATTTAACCAGGAAGCTGAACCCTCTGACTCTGTATATGTTTACAGGGATTCTTTTGCTGTGTTCAAAGGGGGCACTGAGGCCTGAGGGTGATCAAAACCCCTCTCCCCTTCCTGGCCAGCCTGTATTGGTGGCGCTGCCTTCTGTAGGAGCTGTACCAATGGTCCTCCCTTGGAAAGGGACACCTGGAAAGAAAAAGACACTCATGGCAAAGAACACAAAATAAACTCTTGGGGGATTGTTCCTACATTTTAATGTTGGCCCTAAAGGGGCTGGACAGACCTTTTTCTGTTCTTTTACAGGTAGCTGTCCAACGGAGAAAAGGATTCACAACTGGGATTGAAAACCTCAAGTTCGGACTCTGGTTCAGTTCACTGGTAACTGTGGTTATCATCTGTTAGTTCTGTTTGTGTGGTTATTTACCCTGTCCATGTGCTCAGCAGAACAGACTGTTAGAAGTGAAAATTAAAGGAACCTCTCCTGGGAACTGGTCACAGGGTTTGTGAAAATATGGAATCAAAAGTAAATGTAACCATCTTACCTCAAACTGAATCCCCTCACTCATCTATTGGATCAAACAAAGGTGAATTTAAACCTGGAATGAGAACCTTTAGGAATATAATGCCAGACAACCCTGACTTATTTGCTCATGGGATCCCCTCTTTGACCCATCACACACACCAGATGTACACAAAAGTATACAGAGGACATGAGGACCTGCCTGTCAGGGGGTGTTTGTCAGGGACAGGAGCAGGAATTTTGGGGCAGAAACAGGGATTAGGTATTGACATGGGCTGCCCAGGCAGGTGGTGGAGTCACTGTCCATGGAGGTGTTTAAGGAAAGACTGGACATGGCACTCAGTGCCGTGGTCTGCTTGACGTGCCGGGGATGGGTCGTAGGCTGGACGCCGGTTGACCTCAGAAGTCTCTGCCAACCTCATGGATTCTGGGCTTCTGTGCCATCCCAGCCTTTGGGACAGCGTGCTGGTGGCTCAGAGGCTCCGTCCTTGCCTTGCCTTGCCCATCTCCTGGGTGCCAGGCAAGGGCCTTGTGCCATCCCAGCCTTTGTGGAACAGCGCGGGGGCTGAAAACTGTCAGCGCTCCGTCCCCGTGCACAGAGCCCGGGCAGAACTTGGCTGTCAGGAATGGCACAGACTGTGCAGAGGGGTCAGCTCGTCCCACAGCAGCACAATGCCCAACCAGAGCATCTCCTGGCTCCTCAGGCTCTCTGTGCTCCTGCTCTTGCCTGGCAGACTCGAGCCTTGCAGCCGTCCCACAGGTGCCATTTCTGATAACCAGGGTTTTCCTTAGATGGTGCCTTGATAAAAGTCAGGAGTGGCTTTAGAGAGGGCAAGGAGGGGGGTCAGACCGGTGGGATGGTGCCAGCGGGCCGTGAGCCCAAAGTCGGCAAGTCCTGAGGCCAACAGGGTGTCAGGAGAGGACTGGGAGCCCCCAGGGAGGAGGAAAGCTGGGCAGGCCCCAAGGCTCCTGGGCCT